CTGCGGCGGAGGCATCACAAAGTAGTGGCCCAACAAGTCGGGTGGTGGCGGCGGTGGAGGAGGTGGTGGCGGTGCCGCTCGCGCATTAAATTTCGTCGGCGGCGAGAGTGGGGTGTCCGGTGTGATATCGCTCGACATTGGTGTTAGCGGTGTGGATAGTGTGAGTTTGCTAGGGCTAGATGGAGTTATGGGACTCGCATGACTCAAGGGGATGGGTGTACTGGGCACTTCATAGAGGCCAGTGTCCATTGCCAGTGGCTCTTGACTTGGCAGTGTAGGCGCAGGGCTGGTCAATGGACTCATATTATGTCGCAGATTGTATTCGTATGTGTTGGGTGGCGTCTTCGGGGTCGATTGGGTAAAGTCAAAGCCATTCAGCGTCTTTTTGGGACTCAGCACGGCCGCCAGGGCATTGTGAGCCGTCTGAATGGTAGGACTTTGTATTGAATTTTGATGTTGCAGCTGAGGTGCGACTATCGGCTGTTGTTGTTGTTGTGGTTGTTGTTGCTGCTGCTGATGCAGTTGTGGTTGTTGATTTTGGTTCTTTGGTGTACTCAGCTGATTGTAGTAGCTGTTCAGTCGATTTGCGTCATTTTCGAATTTCTTATAAGCGTGGCTGTTGTTGTTGCGATTGTTATCCAACTGATCACCGCCGCGTTGAATATTCTTCATTATACCGTTAATCACAGTGGCATTGCGTTCCATTAATAAATTCTTTTTGGTCAAAAACTCCGGTGCACTTTGCAACTTAATGTTGGCGTTGTTGTTATTGTTCACTGGGTTGGTGTTCGTGATGTTGTTGTTGATGATGGAGATGGTGTTGCTGCCCAACAAATGTCGCGTGGGACTCAACAAGCTGTTGCTGTTATTTGTATTGTTGTTGTTGATGTTGCTCAAATTGCTGTTGCTGTTGTTGTTGTTGTTGTTGGTTGTTGTACTGCCAGTGATGTTTGTGGGGGTGTTGCAGGTGGTGGTGACATTGATGGGATTCATGTTGTTAGTGGCATTGGCTGTGATCTGACTGCTAGCCGTGTTTGAGGTATGATTGCCATGAATGATGTTGTTGTTGCTGCTATTTTTGTTTTGATTTAAGCCAATTGTAGTGTCACCGGTTAAATTTAATGACTCTGGTGGACTGTCGCCCATTTTGGCGGTGACGGGAATGGCGGTGACGATTTGTCCTGCACATTGGCACAATGAATGGGGAGGAGTGGCAATGACAGAGAAATGAGAATGATTGATGCAAGCGCATGTGTGATGATTGCATTTT